TGTGATTCCCTTGCAAAGACAGTTTCCCATAAGGCCAGCCCATGTAAGCCTACGGCCAGTGTCTATTTAGCTGGCATCCACGTGAAGTTTGTTACTCCATAGTGATGGTTCCCCTTTGTCAGCCTACATGACTGAAGCCCTTTATACTGATGTGGCTGAAATATTAAGAGTGTGCATTATAACAGCATGGCTAACGTTCTCCCAGATTATCTATTAGCTAGAGCAGCCGGTCTGTTGGATTTCAGGTTATATAATTACACTTTTTTACCTTTAGTCTCACAGAAAGCTGAATCTAAAGTAAAATGGATATCACCTGATTGGAATTCCTTTATGGTTCATGTTTATGTTGGTAGCAGTCCAATTTCCCATTCTGCCTTTGATCAGGGGTAATTAGAAGTCAGATAATCACAATTAGAAGTCTTGGGCTGTCTTCCATCATTCTATTCTTGACCCCATCATCCAAACAGATGGAATTTTACCTGACATTCATTTCCAGGCCAGAAATTTGCTAAACTAGATTAGATTGGGTTTCCATGCTGTCTGTTAGCACACTGGAATTCGTCTCCTGCCTGCCCCTACTCAGAGGCACCTTCAGACATGTGCTTGCTATCCACAGCAGGTCAGGCAGTAACAAAGGACTTCCAAGCAGCTTCTTTTTTGTTGTTGTTGTTTGTTTCCTTTAGTATCTGACCTTGGAGTGTGATCATGTCTGCTGTGTGTTAAAGGTATTTGAGCACATCACTTAAGCTAGCAAGTCTTTTTGTTTTTTTTTTCCTCCACTGAGGGTCTTAATTAATCCAGGAAGGGTTTATGACCTTGAACAAACTGTGCGCATTGAAAATTTGGGTAGCGAAGCAGAAAAGTTGTTGGGAGAAGTTATCAGAATAATGCACAAGTTTAGTGTTTGCTTTTCAGCATTGAGAAGTACTGAGAATGAAAACGAGCTTTTATTAGGTTGTTCACGGTGAATTTTGTATTTTGCAGTCTTTTTTGCTAGCCCTAAGATATTCCTGCAAACAAACCGCTCATCTGGTAACTAACTGAGTAACTAACTGAGTTAGTTTGAATGGTTTGAAACAAAATGCTTAACACTTAAAATACTGTCCATCGCCTGCAGCACAAGACTGCCGTTCATAAAACTTGTAAGGATAATGCTTTAAAACATCTTCTGCAGTTCTGACATGCTGTACTGTGAGATTTTGACAGGAATTAAAAACATCTGTGGTCAAAAATAACCTTTAAATGATGTAGTTCTAGATATGAATTGGCGGCTGAACTCCAGAGGGAGAAGAATAGGTATTAATAGAAATCCTTTTGAATGGTTTGGGTTTTTAGAACTCAGACATGCTATATGCAAATAGCAGCATCAAAAACAAAAACAGGATTTGCTTTGCTCTGAAAATAAATTGGCTTCTGTTTGGAACCGTGGGCATAGTACCTTGTTATAACAGAATTATCTGAAAAAGTGCCCGGATTTGTAAAAGTGAAAATCCCCGAACCGCTATTCATGTACTGTTTAATACATCTAATTCCAAGTGTGACTGAGGTACATGCTGCAGGACGGGCGAGCAGCAGCCACACAGACAGGATTGATCTGTCATATCTTGGGAAGGGGTGAGGGGCTTCACAGGGAACTTAGTGGGAAGGCCAGAGGAATGCAGGAGCCAAAGGCATCATGACTTCAGGATATGAGGCGTTTCTTTTTGTCATTTAAAACGCTGTGTGTCTCTGTCAAGAGGAAATATTACACTAGGGTTTAAACCAAGAAAGGTCATAGGTTATGTGTTTTCAGTGAGCTGTAACTGATGGTCTGATCTGCTTAGAGGTAGGATTAACCTCCCTCTCTCTCAGAAAGGCCTCGCAGAGAATTGTTTGCTTGGGTTTCTAATCTTATTTTACCCCAAATGCCATGTGCCCTTATTGGTGGCAGAGGAGATTCTTGTGGTAGTGGAATCAGTGAAAAGCTGGTAGATCACACAAGAAGCCTCTGAATGAAGGCAGAATTGAAACTGGGAAATAAAGAAAACAGCAGGCAGGTCACCCTCTCAGGAAAACAACATTCATTCTCAGTCATGCACATCCTAACACTTTTGACGGCAATTTATCATGGAAGACTGGGTTCACCGCAAGGGCTAACACATGTCATAGGTTAAATCAGAAAAGGCAGTACTGAAAGGAAACTTCAAAGTCCTTCAGACACAGAGTTAAATATGTTGGGAAAAAGCTTACGATATTTGTTGTATAGATAAGAGTAAACAGCAAGCTGGAGGAATTTTGGCAAAACAGTGGGATTGTTGTGCCTGTTGAGGCACCAGTTCTGTGCCCTTGCAGTGGATGTGCGTGGCTCTGAAGAATGCAGTCGTAGTTTGCAGGAGGTCGGACAGGTTGAGCTGACAGGCCTTCTCCAAATGGAATTGCTGTGCATCAATAGGTAGACTTGGATGTGCCTGCTCGTGGTGTGCTCAGTGGCTGGGGAAGTTCCCCTTTCCCACAGTAGACCTGGTCCTGCTGGGCACTTGCTGCTCTCCATTCAAACCGCAGCCGGTGCACAGCACAGCCATGGCACCTTCCGTAGTGGGCACTCAGCTCCAGACATGGGCTGTGAAGCTGGGAAAGAGCTCTCTGAGCTGTCAGGTGGATGCAGTAGCAAACTGAGAGCGTGGCAGCACCATAGTGATGCTTCTAAAAGATCTCTGCACATTGGGGTCACGCAGGTGGTTAAGTTTTCTCTGTTCAGGTGCTTTTTGAGTTAGAAATCAGTTAGCTAACCCGAGCTGCCCATTACTGCAGATAGTAGCAGCTTCAGTTTTGTGTATCTAAGCATCCATGTGCATGCCACTTCTGTTGAAGAGCTTTCTTATCCAAGGTCCTGCCAGGCAGGGTGGCTATTGCCCGTGTCACTACAGGAGTGTGCACCACATCCACGCACGCAGCTCTGTGTGCTGACTCCAGGAGCAAAATGACATTGTTGCCAGAGGAGCACGTGTGGAGCTGCTCACTGAGGCTGTTAAATAGAAGATGGCAGGAGTTACTGCTGAAGGCTGGAGCCAGTTAGCATTCTGCAGCAGTTTGAGTGCCTCATCAATCCTTGCACAGTTCAGCATTGCTCTACCTACACTCCCAAATAACACGACTGTACTTCTCGTGACGTTTCAAGAAAAGGTATTTTGTTTGTGATGTTAGTATTTTTCTAAAGGACCCTGGGTCTTTTTTCTCCTCCCGCTTAATCTTCCCTAGGATTGTTTACGAGCCTGCCAAGAACAGATTGAATCCCTCCTTGAATCCAGTCTACGCCAGGCACAGCAGCACAACGTATCTTCAGAAACAAAGACTGTAGAGGACGAAGCAGACCTTTCCTGCACACCCACTGATGTGCGAGATGTGAACATTTAAGAGGACTTCTTCTAATGGGTTTGCTTGGCAAGAGAAGCAGACAAAGAAAGGGCATCTGAGAAGGAATCAGCATCGGGATCTCCCCCCCAGAAACCCTTTTCTCCAGGACATTTTTATACCAGAAGGGAAAACCAGTCTTGTTATATTTTTTCTTGCTCTGTCTCCCTTCCATCTGTGACTTCAAACAAACAAATAAACAAAAAATACCCCAAAAACTGTCTTAAAAAAGGAAAAAAATAGTATTTGCATTGCCCCCAGGGGTTTGTGCTACAAAAATAGAGGATTTTATACAATAATAATCAACTAGTTTTTATATTAAAGTGTTCTTGTCTGTATGTTGTAAAAATAGGCATTAACACACAAAATGTCTCCAGGGGAGGTATTAGATTTGATTTCTTACATATAAAACCAACCAACCAACCAACCATTTTTAAAGTAGAAGAGGGTTTTTTTAGATAGTAAATGAAATATTCTTTTTTTTTTCTTTAAAAAGCATAACTTTAACGCAGTTCTAGGCTTTTCTGTATCTTGCTTGCTTATGCATTTAGTCACTTTATAATTCATCTGTAAATGTTTATTTTATTTCCTTAGTTTTTTTTTTTATCCTCTTCACCTTATAAATGGTTAACGTAACCCATAAGTTAGTGTATGTTAGTATACAGCATTATTATATGTTAATCTTTTTTTTTTTTTTGTGCCTGTGGATTGCCTGTGCATTTGTAGGGTTCCAGCTTAGCGTTGTTGGGAAAGGCCAATGTACTACTCATACGATACTCTATTATAAAGAGAAACCGAAATAGTGACATAATATATTATATTTTTGTAATCTTCATATTTTTGTAGTTACCTGTGTAAAAATGCTGGTCTGACCCCGCAGATATTCAGCCCAATTATGGTCAGGTTCAATCCACAGTTTAGTCTTTTTTGTTTGTTTGTAATATTCTAAAACCATTCCATTCAAAGCACTTTCAGTCCATTAGATATAGGAAATACATTCTTTTATTGTGTGGGAATTTTTGTTTTTTTTTTTTTTTGTTAATGGAATGGTTTGGAAATATATTAAGTGCTTGTTCGCAAACTCAGAATTGCAAAGCAAGTGCATTTAACTATGGTGTTAGAGGAAAGGTGATTTTTTTTTCCGAAGGTTGTGTTCCAGTGAGAGAAATTGCATTCACAAATTGCCAGGATATCTTCCTATCCTTTTCTATAGAAAAGTTGAAGTTTAGAAATCCTTTGGTGCCAACACATGGTTATAAATTAGGGGCCTTAAAGGTTCACGTATAGGACGCATAGTTTAAGGACTGTCTCTAGATGTTTTACAACTGAAGGTTTTTAAACACTAAAATATATAATTTATAGTTAAGGCTAAAAAGAATATTTATTGCAGAGGATGTTCGTAAGGCCAGTATGATTTGTACAATAATGCAATCGCCCCTGTTTGAAAAAAAGAATCGTTCTACCCTTGATGTCGCAGTTTTAACACAGCTTATTAAAGAAAAAGGACACGCTTCAGAGAACAAACCCAAAACCAAGCAGTCTATTTGGCCCCTTAGACATTTTCAATAGCAGGCTAACCATGAAAAAAAACGCCATAGTTAATAGATATGAAAATTGGAGTACTTGAAAGAAGTTCTTATTCCAGTATATGCCCCAATTTTTTTTTTTTATTTAGCTACAAATAGAAAATTTGCACATCTTGGCTATGTATCTTTTTATTATTATTTTAGGAAGTAGCTGAAGGGACGTGGACATAGCTGTTGAAGTTGATGCTCGAGGAGAATGTGATGGTGAAATGTATGTGAGAAAACTGCCGCTAAGGTGTTGATTGTAAAAACAATACAAAACAAAAAAAAAGGAACAGAGAAAAAAAAAAAAGAAAAAAGAAGAAAAAAAGTTAAAAAAAAAAAGAAAAAAGAAAAAAGAGAAAAGAAGAGGAGTGGATGCTCCATTTTTATTGAGCTGCTATGGATAAATTCCCAGCATGGTTTGAAAAAAAATTAACATTGCTTTTCTGTATCTTTGTCATTGTGTTTTGCTGCTATTTTGTGGATCAGTTTTTTTTTTTTTTTTTTTTTTTTTGTTATACAATGTCATATACTGCCATGTTATAGGTTTTAATTTTCTCATAGAAAATTATATTATTGACATCATTTTTTTTTTTTTTGTAGATTTTTTATGTGATCAATTTTTACTTAATGTGATTACTGCTCTATTCCAAAAAGGTTCCTGTTTCACAATACCTCATACTTCAGTTAACCATGTCTAGACCAGGTTTTAATGTTCGTACACAGTGCCTCATAGTTCTACTGCAAATGGAAATGCATCGAACGTTGTTCTGAATGGGTCTCGCGATTTGCAACTAGGTTGCATTGATTTAAAGACAGCAGACATTTCAGGAGATCAGTAATGTCGCTTTTTGTTGTTACACATTTTATAAAGCTGGATTCTTTGTCTGATCTGGGGTTTATTATCATAGTAGTTCTAAGCTGTGTTATTAGCCACATTGATATATGAAAGGTGCATTATAATATAACTTTTGTATGCCACCTGATGTGGTTCCCGTCAGTTGGGATCCATCACTTGGTGTGATAGGTTATCTTCTGGAACTCTTAAGTATTTTGTGTGTTTAATCTGTTATGATATACTAGGGTTGTTTGTTGGTTTTTTTTTTTTAGTTTTTGTTTTTGTTTTTTTTTAATTTTTTTTTTGTTAATTATAGCATAATGCTAATTTAAAAAGCCTGTAAATCTCATAAATAAGCCAGCTAACAGAGTTGTATGCTGAAGAATAATCTAGCTGTTGCCTGTATGCTGCTAAACCAAAACAGAATTAGAACTCTTTTGAGGCAAATGCAGTTAAGACCCTACATAGTGCATAAACAGAGCATTGCAATGCTACTAGCAGTCGCAGGACCCAGGAGGACTGGATACATTCTGTCCAAATTTCAGGAACATTTCTTACTGCTTACCTCATAAAACACTTCTGTTTGTGGCATCTCTGTGTCTCTGAACCAAACATGATTACTGAGTTAGTGGTTGTTGGTTATGTTACGTGTTACACTGAGCGGCAGTGTGTACTGCAAATTTCTTTCCATATTGTATGTACTGAAATGCCAAATCCAGATACGTGGGTTCATGTGCCAACAGAGATGCTTTGTTTGTCACGTTGTTATAACAATCTGTAGTAAGCAAGCAATTCAGATTTGTACATTTTTATATTGTACTTATTGGCATCACTGGTCTGAAATGCACATTTTCACCAACAGACCTGTAACAGACAAGTTTCCAGCAAAAACAAAAAAAAAACAAAAAAACAAAAAAAAAACAACACTAAAGTCTAGAAATAAAATTGGTAAAACCCAGTGCCTGCTTGTTGTGTCGTTTTATTACTTTCACACATGCAGAATGGTAGTAACTGTGTCATGTAACAAATAAGCCACACCACTCTCATTCTGACTGGGCTTTAATAATTGCAACGCTAACATTTTTATCACTGCTTCAGGAAAGCAGGTGTTCTTAGAAGTGGGCAGGTGACTGGCACTCAATTACGCTTGTCAGTGTTGCTCACTGTATGGTTTTGTGCCTGGCAACGCATTTACAGAAAGGGTTTGTTTTAAAAACAACCAAGTTAAAATCAGCAGTCTCTTCCTTCCCCCTGCCTCCTAGAGAGCTTTTGCTGGTTACTGGTATCGGAGATAATGAGGAATTAATACAGAAAAAATTAAAAGCCTGCTAAAATACACAAAAAAAGAACTGGACTTGAGAAGGAAATACAACAGTAATGAGGTACGATGACAAAATGAGAAAAACTTACAACCTGTTTGCCAATTCCTTCTCCAAGGTGCCTCTCTGAAAACAGGATGCGTGTTGCCAATTGCAAGAGCTGGGCACAGCAGCAACAGATTATTCTTTGTGGAGAACAATCACACTTCCTATCTATATACTGACTATGGAGCATGAGAGGAGAACGTGATGTCAATTACTGCATTAGAAGTATCAACTCACCTGAAATGTCAAGTCTTCCTGGATGACAAGTGGTATCTGCTTTATGAGCTTCCCAGTGACTAAACTGCACATCACAACCTTTTCTATGCAGTAACTACTGCAAAGGAGGCTACAATGAAAGCTGCTGACAACTGTTACACACAGTCTAGTGCAAAATCAGTCTGTCCTAGTGCATTCACTCATATGTTTTGAGGGAGGACATACTTAGGATCCTGATTTGGGACAAACAGCTTTTTGCTGGGGGAAAAAAAAAACAATGAGAAATTTCAACCTGCTTTCTGTTGAACGTGTTAAGTGGTTTTTGCCTTTTCTATGATGTTTTACACTATTAAAATCAGATATTCTGTCACTTTAGTAGGTTTAAGTCCTGACTGTCAGCTCTGCTATTTACATTTTCTTTCTCTTAAGCATCATTTCTGAATGCAGCCTACTAAATTCAAATGTATTATTCACATTGAAAAGGGCAGGATGACAAGAATGTAGCAAGAAAAACAATTTACTATAGGCTGTAAAAAATATGCACATTCAGCTAGGCTGCGCTCTTGCTCATTAAAAGGAAAAATACTTTATTACATCAGATGGAGAAGCATACACAGAAAACATCCAAAAGATGTCCAAAAACACCAATTCCACTGCTGAATTCAGACTGGCAAACTCGTATCTTTTATGAATATTAACATCACACATTCTTTATTAAAGAATAAGCAGGGTCCATTAAATGCAGAAACTGGAAATCCACTTATGTGGAAGCATACTGGCATTTAAAGGGATGGAAAACTCCAGATAAAGGAGAAAGAGAAGCTTGGAGCTACTGTTTCAGGAGAGCCACAGGAATGACCTAAGCAGGTGGGCTAAATGCTTTGGTGAGATTCCTAGTAGGGTCACTGAAAAGCTACAATGGGACAAAGGTAGTAAAACTACAAATGATGGCATTTCAATGGAATCCCATCAACATCTCTTAATGGAAAATTTATCTTTTTCAGACAAACATGGTGATTTTATGATACCAGCAGTATAACTGACATAGGTAGTTGCAGTAGCATGGCAAACATGATTCCCATTTAGCTTTTGAGTTCCCCACAAAATTAAGATCAAACAGTGACTGCATATTTGTTAACTGGATTGCACTGCTAGCATAAGGCTTGCTAGACTTCTGAATTTGCTCTTTAGGCTCAAGGAGCAAGGTGAAAGTTCTCTTTTTTGCTTTTTTAGAAATCTGATAAGAAAACCAAACAGTTTCTCAGTGATCCCGTTAGCACCTCCACAGCCATACTAAAAAACTGCCACGTATTTCCAGCCACAGTTTTTACAAATACTCTTACTTAAAGAGAAAACTGGCACTGCGTGCTCTCAGTGTACCACGAACAAGGCACGCATGCAGCATCTGAACTCTGCATGGGCTTTGCTGCTGCGGAAGCACCACCCCGCAGTACAGGGACAGCTTCTGGGGTCCAGGCTGTACACAGCACTTCCAGCCAACTCCTGAAAACAAAAACCAATGCTCTGCAGAGGATCAATTCCTACCCTGAACAGCTCCTGTTTTGGGGGAGCAATACCTACAATACACAGATTAATTCCAAAAACAGTTTTTACCTTTCCAATCTCCCTCTCTGGGTTGTGGAGGTTGTATTTAGTACTGCTAGAGGTCTTCTCACTTACACTGTATGAAAAAAAGAATCCATCTGTGTGGATTTCACCTCTGTTCTCATTTTACTTATGGCTTATGCTACCTTTTCATTTATAATATCTTTGAAGAAAAGCAACACTTAGTTTTTATTTCAGGTAAAGAACCCATCTCAGTGTAGCAACCCATCTCAAAACAACACCAAGCCTGCACATTCACTTAAAGACAAATAGAAAGTTACACTCCTGTCATATTCGAAGTATAGATTAGGGCACAGCTACAGCACAATGTTCCCAACTAAAATGTCTGTCATATGGTGAGGCCTACCTGAAAGCCAAAGGCTGCCCACTCAAATCAGACCTTGATTAACTCTGCTCATCTCTGACTGACCTGGCACGAGCTGGAAAACAAAGAAGCAAAACATGAACTTAAGCAAATGTTGCTTAAGTCGTATGTGGTAACAAACTTGGTTGGGGTGAGCGGTGAAAGCGTAGGGCTTCAATTTGTATGTGAGTGCATGCGACTCACAGAACAGAAATCACTATCTATTCACCATTCTCAACCCAAGCAAATAAATTTTGGATTATATGTTGCTGTAGTGGTGGGGCTTTTTTATTTCACCCATCACACCTGAGTACCTGTGGCACTTGTCTGTTTCCATCCAGATGCTATATGCCATTAAATGCCTGGTCTCCTATGACAGCTTATGAGTTACCTACTGCCTGTGAGGATGTTACTTGTAACATTAGCACCAGTCTTCAAGGAGTTGGGCTGAGATGAGCAAACCGTTGAACAAAGGCCACTACGCCACCACTAGAGCATTACGACAGCTTGCCTGAGCCAGCACTGAACGAGTGACCCGGTGTCCTAAGTCACTGCTCTGATGGCAGACTGTCTGAAACAGACAATTGAGCTTTTGATGTTTTATTTCTCCTTTTATTAGATTTTATCACTATAGATTGTTTGAATACACGGTATTACTTTTGAACAGCTTTTCTGCTCCTTCAGCACACACGGGCCATCGTTCTTTATATTCAGTTGCTGGCGACGTTAATTACGAAGAACAGCTCTCCAGCAAATTTACTCCCCAAGCTTTCCAGAAGAAATCAGTAGTTATTTTCTCAAAACTAGCCATTATTTCTTATAATTACATTTATTTCATTTTTGACTTGATACATCTGTAGCTGCTTCAGTCATTCACTGGGCTCACTTTGCTTCTTTTACACAATGTGTCTATCAACTGCGTATTAATCCTGGCTTTTCTTTTCATGGAAGCCCTTGGACTGCAAAGAATCAGACAAGTTTCCTCCTTTATGGACAATACAGTTTAAACTGATCACCTGAGAATTCCAGGCAAATCCCAAGTACAGCTCCTTGTAAATGCCTCTCCAGGTTTTTCTCTAACATGATTTCTCTCATTATTTCTGAAACCACTGATGCTACTGGATTGCTCGAGCAGTCTGTCCCCACCTTATTGCATAAAACAACTTCTAACATCATGACATGCAGCTATAATGTACTTATGGTTAAGGTGGTTTACAAACTCCCAAACTGTGCTCAAATAAATCATTCTCCATTTCACTCAGCTATCCCAGATATGACGCAAAGTGATGCTGTAAGTTTAAATGGTTTTAAGGTTACAAGGTGCTTCAGTAACTGTGGCACAACCAAGGGTGCTCTCAAGAAAATACACTGCAAACACAATCTCTACATTTCCTTTAAGAATTACATACTATTATGTACTCTAAGTTACATACTAATATGGCTCTGAGTTTCAAACATTCATTTGTTTCTACGTGTATTCCAGAGACTATTAAGTTATTAACAATAGATTGTTTTGTTTTTTTTTTAAGAAGGTAAGTGGGTCTCAAAAATTCAGTGTCTGCACATACACTAAACTACAAAAAAAAAAAAAAAAAAAAGCCAGTTTAGAGAACAATGTGGGCATGTGTTTTTAAACTACTGTTCGTGCAGTCTGGTCAGGACTGTGTGACACAGTATACAGTGTTTTGTCATCCAAGGAATGTCTTTGATCAAGAGTTTATGCAAGAAGGAAAAAAAAGCCATGAAACCCTAATCCGTTCCCACAGTCCAGTAAACGTGAGCTGGACAAACAGTGGACAATAGCAGTAAAGCTTGCTGCTGGAACAATAGCTGCAACTAAAAAAATTAAAGGGTTGCTGACTCACAGTTCCTACAATCAAGATTCCACGCGGTGTCGATTATTCCACAGAATCCTGAAGAAGCTGAAAGTTACAAATTGCAGCTAAACATTACATGGATAGAAAGCAGCAAATCGTGCCGCTAAACAATCAGCAAGGAAGGAGACAGTGATAAATCCTGATGCTGACTCCGCTTAGCGCGGAGCTGAGATGCAGGAACTGAATAAGCAATCCTCTTCCTGCCAAAACAGGACTTTTGCTGAAAGTAAACTCCATAATTTGATTATAAACAAATAGTAGTTTAATTCTTTCAGACAGTATTCTACTATTCCAGATGCCATCCATACATATTCTGCTCTACAGACACTTTCTGATGTTGGAATAGAAAAGCTAGATGCTATTTCTTGTACCTATTCAGAAACTATCTGTATGCTATTTTGCTATGACCAAAAACAAGGACGGACGGACGGACGAAGGAAGGAAGGAAGGAAAGAAGGAAGGAAGGAAAGAAGGAAGGAAGGAAGGAAGACAGAACTGTGGAATTGGCTAATTACATATATATATACGAAAACCAATACTGTACAGCAAGCCACTTCAGATTCAACTGGCACTTTCTATAGCTTTCATATATTTTATATGAGAATGAATGGGTACTACTTTACATTAACGAAGATCTCCAAGGTCTTGCACACTGGTTATGTCTCAGACAAACATAATGACCATGTTTCCTTCTGCAGAATATTACTTCATTTGGTAGAGCTATATGCTACTCAAGAGTTGAATTAAATATTTTACTTAAAGAATCCTAGGGTGAGAAATGCTGTAAGAATATAATTATTACACTGAAGGAATAAAAAGTCCTGTGATTAAGGCAAGAATATTCAGTGCAGTGCTAGTGATAGTCATGTTAGTTCCAGATGAATTAACTGCAGTGAAGAGCCTCAGCACCAGACTACTCTAGTTAGCCTTTACAAGTCAATTTTAGACACCAAAAGTTGCAGCTTGACCACAGTACTCATTTCATCTCTCCAAGATCTCATCTTCTCTGGTGATATCTCCCTGACAATGTGTACTGTCATAACTCTGTCCATTAAAAAACAAAACCAAACAAACTTGGGACAGAATGCAAAATGAGAATCTTCATAGTCACTTGTCCAACTATGAAAGCCGAAGTTTTAGGTTATAAGTAGTCCAGAAGAAGCTGCTATGAGAAACTGCAAAGGGTAATAATATTTCAAAGGCATTAATATCCACACTGCATTGTACCCGAGAATATGAAGAATTACAACTTTCATTTGAAACCAAAGCCTTTCTCTTTAAGAAGATCTTGATGGGATTCATCACACACATGTACATGCCTGATCCTGCTTTGTTACAACCTCCCCTGGTGTGCCTTTGGAAATAATGATTCCAATCCAGATGGACTTCAGCTAATTGTAGTATTTCAGAAGCTTTTAAACTATATCCTTAAGATCATCAGACACACAAACACCAGCACTTGGTAATAATTAGTTCTTCACATTGCTAGCACTGCAGAAACTGTTTAAGAAAATAATGACCCTGACAAGGAGCTTTACCTTCACTTTGAGTGCCCACTTTACCTCCAGAAAATGCCACTTATTAGTATAGACAATTCCTCTCAAACATTGAACACTGTAATTACAGGACATGATAAAAAAACACAGATGTGGTTTTTAGGTCACCAAGGAGGAAGGTACCTGCTCTTATTGAAGAATAAAACTTGAAAATGAAATTGTTAAATCAGATCTTGAAACAGAAGGCTGTATTTAATAAAAGCCACAGCTTTTGCAGATTCTAAGTAAATAATAAATAATCAGTATTAGATCCAGGACTATTAGTTGCATGATTTTTAGAAACACAAGATTAGATTCAGAATGTATTCAAAACGTGTGTAGATGCACACAGAACAAAAAGATGTGAACAGGACAGGATTTATGGATTTCAAACTTTCCAAATTCACATTATGTGATCTCTTAATGTGGGTAAGTTGTCTTAAAAGAATATAAGTTCTAACGCTAAAGCACTGTGGAGCAAGAAGGTGCAGGCACACTTCTGAATGAGGGATCTTGGTTTGTTTCAATGAGAGACACTATTTACAGCCAAAGTGTAAATAAACTTTCATGAATACACCCAAGGGCTCAAATTCTTCCACCTCTTCCAAAACAAAGCATTTGTTCATACACGCTCATACTGAACTACTGGAAAATCAAAGCTCTCAATTCTATCTCAAGATTTCTAATGCATACTCTACAATAATCAACAGAAGTGTGCTATCTTTCTAGAAACCCTAAGGACAGACCAAAATGGGTGCTTGACTCACTCTTCCTCTAAATGGTGCATTACAGACAGCTGGCAACATGAGATTGCACAGGTTCTATGTACAGGATAGAAAACACCACTGCTTTTCTATTTTATACCTCAATAGCAATCAGATCAAAAAGTCACATAACCAAACTGGGATATCAGGCTTTCCTTACAAATTCAAATACAAATTACAGTAACCTTGTTTCGGGAAGACATAATAGGATTCTCCTGCTTTCTGAGGGAACGTTTGTTTTCCCTGATTTCACAATTTTCTGTTAATTACAGGTATCTCTTCAGAGCTGAACTCGATCCCATTCACATTACAGTTCACGGCAAATGGAATGGAATTGGACTTGTTTAATGAAGACGGAGCAAGCATTTTAATAATGAATTTAACTTGAAGGTTTTAATCTGTAGGAGAACTGTTAGTCACAGCTTGAGCTGGTGACTGAGCACCTGGTGAAGAGGTGTGGTTGGCCCAGGGGGCACAGGCAAATTGTTGGCACCTGTGCTCCCTGCATGACCAGAAGGTGTGGACCGAGGGTGGAGCCCTTCTGATCTCAAGTAAGGGCCAGCTGCTAAAGGGAGAGCATCTCTTGGGCCTTGGCTGTTTCTTGAGAAGGGGTGCTGTGTAGCCAGAGATCCAGTTGGGTGAGTTCAGCTCTGCTTTACGTATGTGACTATTGGGGTACTTGCAAGTATTGCTAAGAACCTGCTGGAGTGATTCTGCTTCTTTGTGAGTAGAGCACCATCCTGTTTTTTTGTCCTCCTTTAAGTTCTTTTTGAAAATCTGTGTATAGAAATGCAGTCTCAGTAAAGAACTTTTACTGTGTTGATGTAGTACAATGTCACAGATAACCGACAAAGTCAGGTTTACATGTCCTAGTAATGACTGATTTGGGATTAGCAGCCAATGACCCCATGACTATAAGACAACACTGAAATCAGAATGGAATTCTGCAGGGAATTAATTCACTGTAGTCAGAGATGAGCTTACCTTTCCTTGTTGATGCCTCAAAACTCCCCGTTTCTTGTACTCTTGTAATTTAGAAATGAAAACTGTAAGTCTTTTCAAGTGAAATGACTTTAATACACTAACAGTAATTAGCTTTACATTCACTCTTAAAATGAAAAATGTATGCTCAACACTTTAAGTCCACAAAGAAACAAAACAAGCCAGAACGCAGCCCCAACAAGTCAGAAAATTAAGAGTTAAATATTTCAAGTGTTCCTCCCTAACTACTGAGCATAACTAGCAGTGGTGAATAAAAACATATTAAAATGCATTGCTGTGAGTCTTAGTAACTTCAGTATTTTTTGCAGAAGTCTTCCATGCTACTTGTTTTTATCAGATCAAGTATCTCCAGGAAGACTTAAACCACTATGACTGCAGAGCCACAATCTGTCCTACTTTATTAATAACTGATATTGCAGTCTACAAGACTGCATTTTTCCCTTCCAGACCTTAAAGCAATCCTGAAGTTGTGCAGTCAGTTGCTGAGACCAGACAATGTCGGAGTGACTGTTTCATGGATGCTTTATTCAGCCTCTCCACACACAGATCTTCTGACAGTCTTTAATTTCAGTTTAAAGCCTGTTTCCACCAGGGTCCTGACAAGATGAGTAACCAAGATGCTAATGAAATTTTTCACAAGAGTTTTTCATTAATTTCTTATGGATTTAAGAAAGTGTTAGCAAGATGGGCACCAAAAGAAGAGAAAAACATATGCCCTACATTTCATGAAACCAGACAGTCTTTTGAATACCCTGGCTATCCCAAATATTAATGATTTTTTGTTCAAAAATAGCACTGTAGTTGACTTAAGCATGTATCTTTCACAGGTTTTTGCTAAGCCTTATGTTCTTCATTTCCTAGGTTTCTCCTCTGATCAACACAACCGAAAGCAGAAGCATGTAAAAAGCCAGGTCCTCCTAGTCACTCTTGATGTCAGTAAGTAGCACATCCTGATGTACCCAAGTAATTAAAATGCAAGATTATTTGCAAGGCGTCACACTGATTAAGACAAACCAATATTCATCATGTAATCTGGTCTTTAACTCCGTAGTTGTCACTAAAAAACCTCCTCTGTGCTGTGGAGACTAGCATTAAAATCCTGAACGTCACAAGAAACCCTAATGCACAACTCTGTTACAGAAGATATTTTTAAAGGTTTGCACTGAAGAACTGCATGATTACATATCTAACAGAACTATTAACTGTAGTTCATATAACACAAATTATCATGCCTACATAAAAGATAATCGGAAAAACAGAGGTGTGCACACACCTGTAGCTAAGTTAAGGACCTAAAGCTGGCATATCCCAGTTTGAAATCAGAGATGCTACAATCTTTATAGTTATTTTCATATTTATGTTAGCGATTGATATTAAAATATAGATTTTAATAGAGGAGGATAGTAAAGCAATAGCAGAAATTTAGCCATGAGATTTAAAAATAAGGTGTCAAGTGACTGATCTGCAAGGATCCCTCTTCTCCTCAAGAAAACAAAATGAATTTCGTATTCAATACAATCTCTAGAGAAGCACTTAGCATGTCACTTACATAGCACACACTTCCAGTCATCAAATGCACCACAGATGCTTTGAGCTCTCATCTCTTTCCCAGTTTTTCTACACATTTTTGCAAGCCATGTACAAAGATTCCAGAAAAGATCACTTGTTCAAACTTGAATGCTTAGACATCCAGTGTTTACTTCTCTTTGTACATCATTCAGAAGAGCAATAAACTGCCTTTCTGACACCAGATCAGCTTGGGGGGAAGGAGGACACTTATTTTAAATGTAATATCTAGCTTTTGACCAAAAAAAACACTGAGTCAGTCACAGCTGAATATTAGCACACTCTCACTGCTTTGAAGTAAATGGGTTAAATAGCATGATTTGTGGGAAAAAAAGTGTTAATTTGTGGATCCTGTGACAGCTTTTTCAAATCTAGCTTTCTCTGAAGAGAATATAAAATGAAATCACATTTCTCTGGTAAATGACCTCTCTGTTATGTGTCTACTGATTTATTGAGGCTATATGGTATGCTCTTTTTTTGCTTAGGTCTCAGGTGCTCACACACTGGAGCTTGTTCACACTGCCCTATGGTTTAAGTTGCACAACAATTAAAATCCATACTTCAGCTACCCTAAATGAAGATGCCAGCAATGCTGTCATGTCACTTCCATACTCTGAAATAAAGAAAGAAGCCACAAATAAATCCTACCTCAATACTACTTTATTTCAAAAGAAGGCACCACATCGTTAGAAGAGCTGCATCATGCACGCATGTGTTCTGCACTACTTGAACAACTTCATTTTAATGAATACTTGTGAACTATTACAAGAAGCATTACTTACAGGCTATTTTTAAACAGTATAAAAACCTCCTCCACTAGATGGCTCTGACAGTATATACATCAAAGCTGTTTGAACACTTACATATTTATGTATGTACATCCATAAGTAACTATTAACAAAGGCAGCTGATATTGACATGTTCATGTACTCAGGAATCAGACAAAAATAAAAGATGACTTTGAAATGGAGTCAATACATATGCACACAGGTATACATTCAACAAAATATCTGTATCTTTTTAGTCCAAAATAACAATAAAAAAGCAAAACATATGCCCTTGCATTCCAGATGCAAATGCACAGTAAACATTTTAAAAGATTTAAGCTGCACCTGTGCTCCCCATGTGACCAGAAGGTGTGGAGCCACCCTGGGCTCATATAAGAGCCAGACACTGAAGGGAGAGCATCTTCTGGGCCTTGGCTGCTTCCTGAGAGTGGGTGCTGTGTAGCCAGAGTTTCCCTTCACCAGCAGGGTGAGTTCAACTCTTTTTCTGCACGTGACTATCAGTGTACCTGTGGGTTCTTTGCCTAGTATTGCCATCTGTCAGAAGCAATTTTGCTTCTTTGTGGGCAGAACAAGCAGCAACTTCTAGTAGCCACGTTTCTGTTACTGATAACTTAAATTGCTAGGGTTTGGGTCTATTTGTTCTTGTTTTGTGATGTTTGGATAAGTCTGCAAAACTAGCATAGGAAAAAAACCACAAGATTCACACTCTGAGTTGCAGCTACTTTATGAATTGGTATCTTAACCTTCCTTCATTTGTGTTCTTACTTCATGTGTATTCTACCTTCCCCCACAGAGGTGTTCACTACTGCAAGCTCTGTAGGCAACTGATTCAATCTTCACCTAAAAAAACCTACACATTGTGTAAAATGGATGATCTACACATGTAGATTTTTTAAAAATAATATACATTCTTTAAATAAGAAAGCTTTGCATATGCATGTGTTTTCCTTTTAAGGAAAGGCTGGTGAAGAGTGAATCAAATACTTCTATTCAACAGGCTTTCAGTGTTTCTATAATCCTAAATAATGCCATGAGATTTAAAAAAAAAAAAACAACAAAAAAAAAAAACACCTTGACAAATATAAGAAACCATCAAATGTTTTGTGCTTTTTCTTTACCACTTTAATATGTAGCATCTCTTTGCTACTTGGATTCTGTTTAAAACAAATGAACACTTTTCCAGTTATCTGTTCTTTCATACGCCTTTTTTCATCCACGTTTATCTTCAGCTTTTATATTCAAAATGTAAGTGAAGATCTTTCATTACTGACTCTAAAATCAGATCGAATATTTAGCATTGAACAAACCTAAAAAAGAATAATGAGAGTGTTCTGATGCGTCCATTTTCCAAAAGGAAATTCAACTAAGCTACTAATTCCTCCTTTTCTATTTATTCTTCTGGTCCTGCTTGTAATTCACTGTCAAACAGTATTTTCAGTTTTCCATTTATTTAATTTTATTCTTTTATTTTGCATTTGCTATCAATCAGGAAATTTTCAACTCAAAGCTTTTTTACTATGACTGCAAAAGGAGATGAAATATTTACAGAAAGCAATACTATTTTGTGCTAAAAATAACAACTTAATCCTACAAACCTGTTTAAATTTTCCTCTGATTTTTTCCAGATCATCTTGAAGCTTTTCATAAGTGGGGTCTTCATATGGGAACTTCTGAATCATTCCTATTAATGAATCCAGAGCCCTTATTTTTTTACTGAAAAAAAAAAAAAAAACACACAAAAAGTAGTAAATAACAGTGAGCCTCCCAAAGAAGTCTTTTCCATCTGTCAGTATGAAAACTGTACTTTATGACTCAGAGCATAGAATCCAGCCCTCTGTCCTTATCTCACCCAAATTGCCTCATACATATTTAAGGCATCATCAGAAACCAAGCTTGGTACAACTGACAAATGTAAGGCTTTCCTTTTAACTTACTTCCCAAACACAGACGTCTAGTCAGGAAACACAGAACTACCAATTAGATGTGATAAATGCAATAAGAAAGCTCACCAGAACATGTACTGAGATATGTTCTATTGAGATAGCTGAAAGCAAGCTGACATTTTGTTCAAATTAATCAAAACTGGTCAGAAAAAAGCATTAAGTTCTACTAAAGGAAAGTAATAATCAATATTTGGAAGCACGTGTATCTGCATGTGTATAGAAAACTAGAGAAAAGTAAGAAAAAGAGAGAGGGGCACCTAGAAGTATAGCAGATGTATTTCTGTTGCAGACAGAAAATAAATTATGCAGAGACCATAAAATATCAGACATGGAAAGAGAGGATTGCTAGCATCACCAAAAAAGTGAACTATCTGTGACACACTAATTCCCTTGCATGTCTAACTGGCTTAGGGAAACAAGCTATGATTAATTACTGATGATGAATTACAGCTCCCTCAGAAGACAGCCTCAGTGGTTTAACATGAAGGTCTGTCTTGGATGATGGGATGAGTGTATCTGTAAGAACAAACAGTGCTAACTGGGGATATATTGCTTCCACAGTGAGTGTTCAACTCAAGTCCTCGTGAAGTCTGAATAACACTCATGTATGAAACTTTATTCAGTGCCTTCCTTCAATGCATTCTAATTATTATTCAAGCATGTCAGAAATAATGAAGTTTGTTAACAGCTCAGGAAAACAAATGTGTCCAGTTAAAATTTAAACAAGTTAACGGAAATAAAATACTGTGTGAGAATTAAACCATTTATGTAATAATAGTCTGCTGAAAACTAAAATGTAAGCTGTTCAGGTTTTAATGTACTACTGAACTTCATCTATCACTTTACTGTTAAAGCATCCTTTGGAAACTACCGTTTAATTTTCAGACAATGAACTGGGGCCCAAGTTTTTATTCAAGTGGATCTATTTAGGAGTTTCTAACTGCCATGAAGCACATGGATACTGCACTTCACAGAAGAAAATGTTACTGAAACAATAATGCCACCAGTTCTATCAGCTCCTAGAGGACTTCAGATAGTCCAACATATTCTGGCTTTTTTATTTTTTTTTTTCCCCCAAGGAACACACTCTACTCTGAGTCTTAAGAAAGCTGTTAAATCGAACATAAAGCACACAGGTGATGGGTAGTGATGAGAAAAGATGGATTATAACAGTATTTTCAGGTACCTAAATAACAACAAAAACGCAGTGCAGGAAACCTATATGCTTGATTCTGTGCAGTCTAAGTACTATTGTAACAAAGAAACTATTTTTAAGTGAAAATATTGTGTAGCTTTTAACATCTCACCCCTGTAACACTCACAGCTTTTAAGTAATTAAAGAAGCTCTGAGATGGGTTTGCAAACCTGAGTCTGTGGTGCAAGAGCAGTAAGAGTTGCTAGGATTTTGTATGCATGCGTTACTCTCCATACTGAGAATAGAATGAAAGTTGGGAGGGGGAAGGGAAGCAGGTTTTAAGGGATGGCTGGAAGTTATTCAGTCTGCCTTCTGCCTAAAGCACGGCTAACCTTAAAGCCCATTGAGGTTCTTCAGGACCACCTCCAACCAAATTGTGGAAAACCACAAGGACAGGGCTTTTGTCCTCAGCTGGGACAACCTGTCCCAGTACTTAAGAAGTCATGGTGGAAAGAACCTTCTCTTTATGCCCAATTAGTACATCAATTGTTTCAACTTGTGAAAAGTGTCTGTTATTCTTCCACTGTGTGCTGCTGCAAGGAATGCATCTCTAGAATTTCCCTTTGTGCAATGCAAGTAGGCATCTCCATCCTCTCTTTTTCAGGCTGACGAAACCAAGTTCCCTTATCCTCTTTTTAGCATCAGATGGTCCAGACTGCAATGCCATCCCAGACACCATCTATCTGCTCACCCTTCTGTTTTTCAGATTCCTCTTTTTTAAACTGAAGAGTAGGCAAAACTGGACACCATAACTTGAAAAAACTATTAAAGGGATATGACTTATACTTTTAAAACCCTACCTGTTCTTTTCATCTGTACATTTTGGGAGCAGATGCTGCCAGGTCAGTGCAAATCCAAGGTAGCTGCCAATCTGTGAATTTTTAAGAATGTCATGGAGGGAAAAAAAAAACAAACACATATTTAATATTTATGTGGTCAAAGAGAAGTAAAGCTTTATATTCTTAAACAAGCCATTGGATATACAAATATATTTCCACATTGAAAGGCTTAGAAAATGGTATGCGTGCTTTGAACCACAAAATTTATGAAACTGTTAAGTTATTGCCAAATTCCACTTCAATCTGTGCATGCACCTGCCACTTAAATTTACAAGACACAATTGGACTTGGAAGTTCCTTTAGCCTGCAAACTTCATCAGAGTACAGTGGGAACATCTGCGAGCTCTAGTCTTCTGGGAGTTATGTTTGTTAAAATACATGTGGTTAGGAGCTGACATCTCCAGAAATGCTCAAACTTAAAAAAAAAGTGAGGCAATTTCATCTGCATGCACCAAAGCTGTTTGGAGACCTCAGGTAAGTGGAGACACCAACAGGTTCACTTCATGTAGCACCAAGTTGCAGTGGTCTGGGGATGCTGGCCTATGGATGCTTTGCAGCAGTCTGCTCTGCATAATTAGTGATGCACTACCACATGGGTGCAGCACCAATCTTCCACTTGAGCCCAAGCACACACTGTATATAATATTACCTCAGGGACATGCTGGAAAACAGGCATATTTTAAATGTAATCTTGTTTTAATTCTTAAGCAAGCAAGCCATTGTCAGATCAGTATTATTCTCCTTAAGGCAGACAATAGGCTGACAGTTCAAAGATAACCTACGTCATTCTTTCACTTACTTAGTATGACAGTGAGACTGTAAACAGATAATCTTCTGGAACCTCCCAGTATCAGTAGATTAGAGCACTTCTCTTGCAGTCTATATAGGACTATGCTGTATAAAAGTAGTCAGTTTTAGAAGCTGTTTAACTGTCATCTTGGAACCGAACAGCTGTAACGTTGATAGGAAAATAACCACTGGTCATCTTCGTATCACAGTCAAGTGACAAATTAAAGTTTTACAATAGCTATCCTTTGAGAGTTTGCATTAACTGCTTTTGTTTCATATTGGATTAATACCACTGCTGTTGTTCTTTTAGTAGCAATCTTTGAGCCACAAATTCTGCCTGTATTACAAATAGGAAAGAGGGTGACAGAGACAACCAGTACTGTCTGGTTGGGACATAATTTGGGTAAGAACCAACATCCCCTGTTTCTCCCCTACGCTGAGCCACAGAAGATGGTCCGGAGAGCCTTTAGATACAACCTTAGGTTATAAAAGTAAACATGTACTCCATCACCAACATGTTCCAAGCAAACTTGTTTGTCTCTTGTCCTCTCCTTCAGGGAAATAAAATACAGAACTCTATTTGCAACTGCAGTAGAAATGCTAAGTCATGGCTTGAAGCAGTGATTGAGCACCTGGTGGGAACGCAGGGCCAATCTAGGGGAGCACAGGTGTATGTAGTGCGGCTGAAATGACAAGAAGGGTTGGAGTCAGGATCCACCCCTTCCCAGACCTCATTTAAGGGCTGGTGGTGGAGGTGAGGGTATCTTGCTGGAGATCCCTGTCTACTTGAGGTAAGCAGATTTCCTTTGTTTTTGTGCCCATGGCAGCTGCATTTGAGCACGTCCTTACTTGTTGCAGCCTGGGACTTCGCTTTCCTGCTATCACTGCTGTGTTTTCCATCACATTATAGAGTTACAGCAACCACCTCAGAAAACACAACTAAAACTGTGTAATGCTGGTGAAGCTTACGACAGCACGTTCAGTTTTCATCTCTGTATTCTACAGAGTAACTCTGCTGTAGTTTTCTGTGTGCCGCCAGCAGCAGCTGCAGACTGCCTGGAACGCTCCTAGAATGAAGCCTGCAGGGCTCACGCTACCTATACACTGGATTTTGCTCGATGGATTCCTGTGCTAGAACCATTCCGTAGAGGAAAAAAAAAACAAAAACCCACAACGAACTGCAATTCCTGAGCACGTCTCCTTACCTCAGCGCCGATCTTGGCGCCATGCAGGCCGCCGCACCTCCGCCCCTCAGCAGCCCCCGCCTGGCTGCCCTCGGCGTACCCCTCCTGGTAGCCCTCCCCGTGAAACCTGCAAGGACAGACGCACGGCTATACGCCTTCCTTTCCGTTTCGCGCCGCCATCGCGGCCGGGTTCGGCGCTCCCTCCCTCCCTGCCGCCGGGAGGGCCGCTAGCCATTGCCCCCCGAAAGCTCCCCACCTGTCATCGGCCATCACGATCTCATCAAACATGTCCGAACCCTGGGACGGGGCCGCCATCGCGCCGCCACACAAGGGGCCGGCGCAGCGCTCAGCACGCCGGGAGACGACGGCGAGCCGGAGGGGCCGCCTCGCGGTGCCCCAGTGCGCAGGCGCGTAGCCTCCCGCCTCGCAGCACCTGAGCGCTCGCGCGTGGCGGGCGGCGCTGCGCTCCTCACAGCAGCCGCCTAACGGGCGCAGCGCCCCGCCGGCCTTGCAGGCAATAGGGGGCGCCAAAGCGCCGTCGGTGCCGCGGCTCTCCGGAGCTGTGCGCCGGGTGCACAGCGGGGCGGGGAGGTCCGGGAGGGGCTGCGTTGTGCAGGGTCTGCGTTCACGTGTCGGCGCGTGGGCTCGCATCTGCTGTCCTGCTCCACTGTCATAAACGCGTTGTGTTCAGTAACCATCTGGTGCAAGTGGAAATAAAGGTGTTTCTGAAGCTACGAGCTACCACTTTCGTCTTGTTTTGGAAGTTAATGACAAACAAGTGCTTTGATCTCAGTAGGCAGGGGGCTCGATTCATTATGCTGCATACGCAGTAGTATTCTAGCAGGAAAGCTGCCAAACTGCCCTCATGGGTCCTCAACAATCCTGTCACAAATTCACCCCTACTTCAGCATCCAAATGACGCCTGCTCCCCACAGCCGTTCGCATCCCAGGGAAACACAGCTTTACTTCATCGTGTCAGCTGGCACCCGCACGTTTGTGAGGAAGGGAAGTGCATTTATTCAGCTTGCCACGTCTCTGCTCCTGTACAAAGCACAGCTGTCCCAAGTTCTCTACAAACAGTTTCAGTACTTGGAATAGAGATAGCACTGATCCTCAGAGCCTGAATAAAGGTTTTACAGCCCTTCACACCTCCCCAGAGTGGAAATGGAGATGCCCAGTATCTCCTTTTTGTAGCTTTCTCACTACTCGCATTTACACATCACAGCTTCTAACGCGGACTTCACAAGGAGGCATTTGACACCTTACCTTTTAAAACCTTTTAGGGCTGTAAAATGTGCCGCTGCAAATGGAAGGGTGGCAATTGCCCTGCTGCCCTTGGGTTGCAGTGGTCAGCCAGGACCTTTTCACAGCGGTGCCGGTGTTTGCATTCCCACAAAGCTGAGGACAATGGTGTTCCAAGGTTTTCCTGCACAAGTCAGGTGTTTGTTGGCAGGGAAAGCATTTTTACAGTAATCATTCTGCCTCAAGCTGGGATCCTGTCACATTTCATAAGCAAAATGGCTAGGCCTGGTCAGAGCTCAGATGGGAAACCTCCAAGGAAAACTGAAGTGCTCCAGGAAGTGGTGTGGGTAATTTAGCCCCCAGTCTTCTTCTCTCTGTCTGAATAAATATTGACCGTGCTGTTACAGTAAGAATCACCGTGCTGCTCATGGAAGATGCAAACCCAAAGGTGTCAGCAAATAGGATGCTATTCCTCAATAGTAGAATGCTCGACTTTGTTTTCTTGACCAGTATTTGTGACAGCAATGTTAAATCTACTTTAAAATCTCTCACCGCTTAATGTGAAGAGTATGCACTCTGAATTTTATCATTTGCAGTGTTTCCATTGAAAACTGCGAGGTTGGTTTTTTTTTTTTTTTTTTGTGGAAAAGTGAGGTTTTGAACAAATTTTATAAGTTCATTTTGTGTTCTGGGTTTTGATTTATATAAAGGAGTCTCAAAAGATGTATCTAATGTTCAAAAGATATATAGTCTGATCAAAAGCAGAAATGAAAAGCTGAAAAACAGGACAGCCCAAACCCAAAAACTTTTCAAATAACACAACTTGAAAATCATCATGCATCTCCCAGTGCATGAAGAGTAGGAAGCCTCTGCATTTGTGGCAGTGACTCAACATGAAGGAGAACGTGAAACACCATGGGAGGTGTTTTGCAGCCAAGAACTCTGCAATTCTTGTGAGTCACCCTATAGTATTCCTAGAGTGAAATGCTCAGTCTTTCCTTTTCTGCCAGAAATTAACATCTTTTTCAAGCCTAACAGCCATTTTCACCCCTAGGAGCATTTTTTAGTTGGGTGCCATTTTTAAAAAGGGAGCAACCTTCTACTTAACGTGGTTTTGCTTTTTGCAGGTGGCTCACACGTGGTGCTGAACCTTTCCATAACAAAGCTACCTCTCTCAGTCTTGCAGTTTCACGTGGGGCTCCTCAGGAACAGGCAGCAGGTGGACAAAAGGTCCACCATTGGCACTCACTGCCTGGCTTTGGGAAACTCACTCTGTCTCTGTGTTGCACCTCGACAGTGTCATCTCCACATGGCTGCAGTGGAACCAGACTGCACAGTTCGATAAAGCTCCTTGATGTGTTTGGGCTGAAGAAGTCAGAAAAGAGTCAGCTAGATTTCTGTACCGAAGATGATTTTTTATTGCAAATATACATATTACACTACCAATAATGAACAGAAATTTAAAAAGCTATTGTTTCCTAGAATTTAATGATTACAAAACTTCACAAAATTTGTTACAACCAAAAAACCCACCTTCAAGAGTATATAAATAGAATTTTGAGCATAAATAACAGTAACAAAATAAACAGAGGTATGTATTTAATAAATTAATTATAAATATTGCATTGGCAATGAAGTGCTAGGTCAGAAGAACACCAGTGTTTCCAGTAGATCTTTTTGTATAGAAATCTCTATTATAAGCGAGCCTTTGGAAATGAGTGGAATCTCTGAACCCTGACATGTGTCTTCTTTTGCTTTCTCTTTGGTTATTCCTTTGTTAAATTGTCACAAGGGGAGAACAGAACTGAAGACATCAGACATATGCTTTCTGGCCCTGAGATTCACATGATCCCTTCCTGCAAGAAGCACAGCATGGCCAGCTCAGTTCTGCAGTGTTTAAGTCACTAAATTGTATCTCCACAGTTTCAACTGATGCAGAATCAAGCCTGGATGAACTTAAAGGAATTGCTGATGGTTACAGGCAAAACACAGAAATGTTCTTTGTAACTGATGTGACCTACACATCATCCATTTTCAGACTTTCTATTTGCTAACAACATACATGAGTATACACAGCAGAACCTATACCTGGACACTACTTTGAACTGCTCGTTCCTACCAGATGAACACAGATGCTAGTTCTGTATACACTCGTACCCATGTGCTGAATTCCCATTAACATTAACGACAAGTCTTTATGCTGGATGATGCAGATCCCCCAGTGAACATAAATTAACCTATAAAATACACCAAAAATCCAGTTTTCCAACATATGCTTTAGCAATAGGGGAAGGAAGAAATATTTTCCTTTCTTCCCTTCTTTCCTAAGGGAAGAAAAAGCACAATATATAAGCAGAATTGTTTTTCAGTGGTATGCTTTCAACAGAAAGCTTTCCCAGAAGGTTGTCAGCAGCTTTTCAAGAAACAGCACTAACTTTAGTTCACATAACCACACTTGCTCAGTCTTCCTTAACTGTGTTTTGTTCCAAATGTTTGTCTACAAGGCTGTGAACTTCCCTGTGAATGGCGAGATTTCCTGTATATATATATGAGCTGAAACAACAGGTGAACATATGTGGTAATGAATTTGATGTATGAAAACTATGCATTTTATCATCACCACAGTAATGGAAGAACTCTGATGAATTTGTTAAGCTGTCCTTATTTAATTTTTCTTTTCCAAGCATACTATGGAGAGGCAATGCTTTTGAACATGGCATCTGGGCACTTAGCTCTTATAGGTACAACACATTGTACGGGAAAGGCTGTCTGCATACTGAGACACGAAAAAAAGGTTTGAGACATCACTACACAAGAAGCTAAAAACCTGCAACATTCTGTGGTATTTCTTTAAAACCGAGTGTGCAGTCAGAATCATTTCTGAAAGCTGGGGCTCTTCACTGGAGACAGTTTGGAAGTGATCCCAAAGGGATCCATGCTGTCCGTTTCAAGAGGTGATGAGTAGACCTCTGGCTCAAAAGCCTGGCTGTAATCACCATATTCACCAAAGTCTGTCACCTCCACTGGCACAGTGTTGATCATGGGTAAGAAGTGAGACAGTGGGAGAAAATCTTTTCCTTTGAATTGTTGTCTTTGTTTGGCACTGCTCAAAGACACTGATATTCCGTATTTCTTTGATTTATACACATTATAGCCATCTGGACGAATCTCCTCTTCAAAGGAACAGTCCTCAATGGAATAGCTGAGCTGAACAGAAAGGAGTAAAACCAGTTACAAACACACCCACCAGATTCACTCCATTCAGTTAAGATCTTGTGAAGAAGAATGTATGAATTTGTAAAAGTACATTTGTGACATACTGCAGAGACATTCTTCTGTTAGGATCTAGGATCACCATTCAGACCTTCCCACACGCACTGTATTTGGCACAGTGCTGGTGTTGCTTCAGGCTCAGTCACTGCAGGTGATTGAACTCCTGGTCAGCAAAAGGCAATTGCTGATGATGCCTCAGTCTTTAGTGATAAGTAAATTAATATAGACTGTATTTGCTACTTTTCATTCTTTTCTCATGTGCCATCGAGAATATGGAGTACAATTAAGAACAAGCATCTGAGTATCGTTTAAAAGCTCTCGTTAAACTGATCAGGTAATAAAAAAAAGGACATTTTTTTCCAAAATAAATTACGTAGTATTTTTCCTTCCATACACAATATGTATCTCAGAAAGATACCAATCTGTGATGCACAATTATGGCTGAATTGTCAGCTGTCCTTATTGCTATGAGCAGTCAGCCTCTCTTTGGAGGATGATGATATCAGCAAGCTTCTTGAGCAAGTGCACTCTACAAACCACACTGGTTGTTGATGGCACCCCTATGCCTCCACCAGATTGCTCCCTGCTCACTTCTGTGGGATTGTCTCTAGAGTAGTTTTTAATACATTTCAAATGCACTTGAAGTATTTCCAGATCAATTTTTTTTTCCACAGGAGAAATTTACAGCACGTCAGTAGATGAAGCAGTTAAAGATTTCTGCAGCACACTGCCTGCTCAGAATCAACCTTAGCCATTCCTGTGTCCCATGTTAAGAAGGAACACATTACAGGAGGGCTGAATTTGGGCCTCAGACATTGCAACTGCCCTTTCCTTCTTCCA